TATATATATATCTATCTACTATACTAATAAGAGTCCAAGAGAGTTAGGCCTATAATTGGTAGAAAAAATGACGGTCACAGATTTTAATCAAATGAATGGCTCAGATTGATTAAAAGATTGATAAGATTTAAATTTTACACTAAAATTTCCTAAAATACCCACACACCGTTACTAATTCCGTTAAAATTTTAAGAATTGTCGTTAGTTCACCGTTAACTTACTCATTGATTTCAATTAAAAAAAAAAAGGCCTTAGGTTCGAACCTCATCCCAATCAAAGTTGGCATAATTAGTACTCTATTTTACTCTTATTAAATTATATAAATAATAATTTAGTAGCTACAACAAAAAATTATAGATATGCATTTCTTTAATTTAGAATTATGTGTCCACAATGCCTTTATTCAAAAAAAATTATTCATTATCAATAAATTAAATAAGAGAAATAATTGTATTAGTTATATTGTCTTTATTTTTCTACAATATAAAAATTCTTTATATTCAAATTTATTAATTGATTATATTCGCTACATTGTCCTTACAATGTCTTAATTCAGTAAAAAAAAATTATTCATTATCAATAAATTAATTAAGAGAAATATTTTTATTAGTTATATTGTCTTTATTTTTCTCAAATGTAAAAATTTTTACATTCAAATTCATCAATTGATTATATTCACTACATTGTCTATTATCTTTTTTTGTGCACTATTTTTCTAATTAAATATCAAAGTTATAATACAAAATAATACTATATATTTATTTACCAAGTATTTTATTAATACCATGAAAAAATTAAAAAAATATATATAATTAATAAAGCCAACCATATTAACTACTTGAGAGATTTTGTGACAAAGAGAGTATTCAAATCACACAACAAATTGAAGTGAGAACTACCTTGCAATATCCTTGTTTGACAATCAGCAATTACAGATTATATTAGCGGATTTGACCAACGAATTTATTTAATTATTAACATTGGGTAGAAAAAATGACCGCCAAATTATTAAATCAAATGAATGATTCAAATTGTTCAGGTTTTAATTTTTTTTAAAGTTTTTCTAATTTATCCTTAATTATATGATTATCCATTTAACTTTTCCGTTAAATACCGTTAATTCACCGTTAGTCTAATTCTAATATTAACGTCTAATATTGAATTATAATTACACCATTAATCTAATTCTAATATTAAAGTCTTAATAGAACTTAACCACAAATCCTAATGTCGAAATCTCCTCAAACAATATTAGTATATATTTAATATTTTATGCCCTAATTTTTATTTGTTCTCCCTTATGTCCCGTATTTGGTTTCAACCATACCTATACAATTATTTTATTGACAATTATAATCAATCTTGACTATATTATCTTGCATTTGTAAACTTAGAATTACCTATTTAACCCGCACGGGCTTAGCTCAATGGTTTAGTGGGCAGTATTTGGGAGAAGAGACCAAGGTTTGAACCTCGGCGGCGGCAGTGCGGGAATTATGTCCAAAGTGGGCAGATTCCTTGTTCGCACCGGCATTTGGTCCTGTCTGCTGAACCATTGAGTCACCGTGATTTACAACTTCCCACAATGCTCTGTCGAGTCAGAGTGTGGGGGGCCCTTGGTGTTGGGGACTCAACCTTTGGCAGAAGAATTACCTATTTAAATACGCAAATTCAACCTTCAATTATCTATGCATGAACAATTTCAATATAATATTGCCTTAATATACTTTAAAGTACTTATTTAAAAAAAAAAAAAAAAACATTGGGCATTATCTCAATCGCACAATGCGCGTAAAAAAACTAGTATATATATAAGGGATCATGTGAAAATTGATCCTTAGGTGAAAAATGTGCAGAGATTGGATAAAAAAAAAATAGATTATCTCAGTCTTTGATCTTTAATGAAGTGAGCAGTGACAATGATGTAATTTTCATAATGTTAAATGAAATACGCGTTGTTAGAGGGCAAAAATAGTAATTAAAAAAAAAAGTGCCTTACAGAGCACATTGTTTGGCGTAATTTGTTTAGCCTTACAGTTCACATTGTTGTGTCTTATATGGAACATTTTTATTAAATAAAAATCTTGATAGAATATGTTTATTATACGATTTTTGGCATGTAATGTACTACCAAATTTTATGGAATGAAGTATATGATTTTATAAGAGAAAATCTTTTAAAAAAATCTAAAAAAAAACAAGAAAAATATTCAATAATCTCTTTTAAAAGGTTACCGTGCACATTTTTTTTGCCTAGGTGCGTGATTTGTGTTTTTAAGGTGCTTTGTTGTATGCTAAAGATGTGTGGTTTGTGTCTTAAGGAGATTTGTTTGCGTGCTTAAGATGCGTTATTTTAATGCTTAAGGTGCGTCAACTGCACAGGAAGCTATGCCCGCACATGAACCCGAACTGATGGTCAAATGATTAGTTTTTTTTTTTTTTTTAAGGTCAAATGTTTGGTAGGAAAATAATAATAATAATAATAATAATAATAATAATAATAATAATAATAATAATAATAATAATAATAATAATAATAATAATAATAAATAAATAAATAAAAAATACACATAGCATCCTAATCAATACAAACTTGTTGCTGCTAAAAATACTAATTGCTCTTTTTTTCAGGTTCATGAATCAATTTGAAACTTATTCAAATTTAGTGACTTAATTGCTATCCTCCAAATAGTTTAATGGCCTATTTGTACCCATTCTCTTTTTTTAAAAAAAAAAATTACCAGAAGGAGACACTCTATTTCAAGATTTTTAAAATTTTTCAAGTTAAATATATGTCAAAAAAATAATAAAATGACTGTTGGCCAAAGTTCGGCAATACGCTGACAAATTTTTAAACGTACCAAACTGCATTGAATGTTTGTCCCTACTGCACGAAAAATGATGTTTGAGTTCTAGTAAATGTACTCCATATTTTAAAATTTTTTTATCTCAAATTTACTTTATGATGTAGTGGATGCTAATATATATTACATTTTAAAATTTTTTTATCTCAAATTTACTTTATGATGTAGTGGATGCTAATATATATATATATTTTATATAGATCTCTATAAAAGTGTCTATATTAAAATTTTAAGTGTAGAAATAATTAAATAAAAATTGAGAGTAGAGAATCAAATTAGTGCATATACTGTTTTGCTTGTGATAAATAAAATCGTTCCTAATGTCTTTTTATCTATCCATATATATATATATATATATATATATATATATATATATATATATTTGGTAGTAGTGATTGCTCAGCAGTCTTGTAGAGTATCCTGATGAAGATCCTTTCATACCAGAAGAAAGTTGTTGCTAAATCAACAGTTGCGATCTGATATCCATGCATCCCTGTTTTTCAATTAACATCTAATCAATAATATATATTAATATCTAATCAAAGTAATCTTACAAAATATTGCTAGACATATTGGTCCACCCATTTACTCACTTACTGTGTACATTCTTATAACCTAATCATCACTTATTATCTCCAAATAGTCAAAGGGTTATCCCCTGTTTCCAAGATCATAGAATTCAAACATTTACAGATGTTTATCAACATTCCACCGCATTCACATCCAAAATTTTCAACTAATTACTTGATAGGGAATTAATTAGTGAATTTTTGAGGCATAATATTATTTAAATTTTGATTCGAGGATTTACAAAATAATTTTACTCCGTATTTTCTGATATTTGATGATTTAAATTATGTTGGGGCTATTTTTTTTTTTTTTTTTGTTTTTAATAAAAGCTAATGTTGGGGAAATAGTGAAAAAAAGAGAAACATAAAGAGCTATTTGTGAATATAATTGTTATGAGGATGCATTTAAAAATTATAATGGTTATCAAATAAATTAAATATTATAATATAATATAGTACCTTTCTTATGGTGTCAATCAGCATAGTGTGGATAACATTAGATACAATCAAATATGATATATTTTTTAGAAACAAAAATATGATATATTTAATTGTATTGCATAGTACATATTATTGGCATGGGTACAAATAATACCAAAGGTAATTAAGATCAATGCTACCAACTTCTCCCTTATTTTTTCTATAAATTTTTCTTTTTGAGGTGACATTACCTTATTAGTAGTTAAATTTATTTTTAATTAGTAATGGAATCAACCAATTCATTGATGCCCAATGAATAAACGTCACATAATGAGAAAACATTTTGGAGGAGAAAATTAAAAGAGAGAAAAAGGCATTTTCTTGTAATTAAATATGATATACTCCACCTGTCCCATTTTATTTGTCATACTTATTATTCATTAGTCAAACCAACTTTTTTTTCTTTGTTTATTTTCTTTAGTATTTTTGACTCATTTTTAATTTTTTTTTTTTTTGGTGTGTGTTTAATAGTACTTTTAGTGTAGTTTCTAAATATATAAATTTTGTATACTAATATTAAACTTAATATTATAAAAAATTAAATTAAAAATAACTTCAGTCAAACCTCGTTAACCGAACTAGACACATAAAATGAGACTGATGGAGTACATTATTATATTGAACATCAATATTATAGAAAATTGTTATCGCTATATCGAAAAGGAAAAAAAAAAAAAGTGTAATTCAAAACTAATTTTTTTTGTCAAACTACAAAATGCTTTGAATAAGTCAAATTTTAAACTTCTACTTCGCTTAAAAGATATAAATGTATATACACTCACGCCAATTAAACTAATTAATTCAAAAGTGTATTTAATTGAACTTATCAATATTTTGAGTAATTGATAAGGGAATCGTAATTGATCAGTGGTGGGTCCAGTCATGTTCTCACATTCACCATAATGAAGAGGCATGTAGTTAGCAGCCCCACCACAATAGTCTCCTCTATTATTTGGTTCACATTCATGGACGACAATATAATAATGGAGAACTGCACAACATGTGACTATTTCCTCCAACTTCTAATTAAATAATTAATTAAGATTAACTAAATGAGATGAAAGAGGTGAAGAAATGGAGTTGTGATCTTTCTGATAAAAACCCATTCTAGTTTTCATCTTATTTTATGATTTTCAACTTACATGTACAAACATTACATCCAACTCTATCAAATACCTCTAAACTTATAGAATTTATATATATATATATATATATATATATATATATATATAAAATCAAAAGGAGCCTAAGAAAAGGCAATGGGGAATGAAGGCAAAACTAAATAGCAACCAAATGGAATATTCATATCCTTGTATATTATGGCATCTTAATAGGCTAGCAAAGTCACTGAACTATGTTTGGCACTACCACCCGGGCAAATAACCATCCACCACCACGACCACGACCACCACAAGAGATCAGCGTATTAGCACAACTCACATGACTTTACAAGCTGAAGGGTTCTCGTCGCTGAACATGGAGCCGTAGTTGTCACTTGGCTGGGGATAGGGATAGTAAGGATAAGGCGGGGGCAGGTAGTTCACAGCGGGTGGCTGAGGAGCGTACATCATTGGCTGAAACCGTTCGTTCCCATTGGCATGCTGCTGGTTCATCATCATTGCGGCCATTTGCTGTTGCTGGTAGGGGTTTCCTGCAAGGATCTCGGGGCCGGAGGCTTGAAAGTAACCTCCATTGCTGCGGGCTGAGCTCATACCGGGGGCCGGTAAGCCTTGCACTGCCGGGATTTGGCCCATTGGAAGATTACCCATCTGATGACCCATTTGGCCTGTTGGCATTGGCCCCATATTAGGAACACTGGCTTTCATTGCCATCATGTTAGGCATGCTTGGTAGCCCATTGTTCATTATTCCACCCCCTTTATTGCCCCCATTGCCGTTGAAGTTAGGACCACCACCATGGCCTCCGCCTCCGCCACCGCCACCGCCACTGTTCTTTCCATCTTGAGGATGTCCACCGCCATTCTTGCCACTCTTTTTGGGCGATCCACCGCCTTGAATTTGATTACCGCCACCCTTATTACCACCTCCCATGTTCATCTGTGGCATAACTCCACCTTTCTTCCCATTCCCATTCATCAAATGCATTATATTCGGCATCTGAGCACCACCGCCCCCATTGCCCATCACAGGCTTCATCTTGTTGGGAGGCATAATGTCCATTTCATCATCAAAATCATCATCATCATCATCATAATCATCGTCATCTTCTTCATCATCATACTCATCATCATCATCATCAAACTCGTCATCAGTAAAGTCATCCTCCTGGGGCAAGTCGAATTTGACAGTCTTGGGGTTGCCCCCGCCCAAATTCGCCGGGATCTTCAAGTCCTTGAACTGAGGGGGCAAAATCTTCATATCTTGAACACCCTTCATCTGTTGAAGCTGGTGGGGAAGAACCATTCCAGGATTTCCACCCTTCATCTGTTGAAGCTGCTGGGGAAGAACCATTCCAGGATTTCCACCTTTCATCTGCATTGGATTCGGGTTGTTAGTCCCCTTTTCGCCTTTCCCCTTGTTGCCATTCCCACCTTTACCACTATCAATCTGCAAATTCTTCAACTGATTCTGATTGTTATTATTGGCCTTTTGGCTCCCCCATAACTCCGCGTGTTTCCCCTTCTTCATCAGCTTCTTGATCAAAGTAGCAGAGTCTACATTTCCAGAAACAGTAACCTTCCCCCATTCCGAATCGATGTTTATGGTATAAACCCCTATAGCATAACAGATTTCTCCAAATTTCAGCATAAAATATTTCAAAATTCACCCAATTTCTAACAAATTAATCACAGTCATAAACAATAATTGATCTTTGGGCACTTTGTGTACCTGAGAAGGAACATTAAATAAATCAAAACTGAGCCTTGAAATGGAAACATATATACCTTCAATCCTCTGCAAGATTTTCTTCACTTTATTCTTACACCCTTCACAGTGTATATTGACTTTTAGAACACAGGTCTGCATTTACAACCAAATTCAGCCAGTAAAATCAAATTTGGCACCCAACCATCCAAACGCAAAACAAAAAGTTTAAAAGAACAAAAAAATTGTTTTTTTTTTTTTTAAATGTTAAATAAATTGAAAAGGAAACAACTTGAGGCAAATTTATCAAGAAAGATTTTTTGAGTTATAGCAAGCAAGGCCCAAAACAGTAAAGCAGAATTGTACAATCCATCCTTCCATCCACCCACCCATCCCAAGCTAAACACAGAGAGAGAGAGAGAGAGAGTATTTGCATATACCGACAGACAAATTAGCAAATTAAAAAAAAAAAAAAAAAAAAAAAAAAAGAGTAATCAATTTGGGATGTACCTGGATCTTCAAGAACTCTTCCTTGCTCATTTCCTTAATCTGAATGTTACAGGAAAAATCAATATGCAGGAAATTAGGAAATGGGGATGGGGTGCTGGTAGATCTGAGAGAGGCGGAAAACAGCTAAATGGGCATTGAGCTATGGAGATGGTGAATATATATAATTCACATACCAAAAAGTGTGAAAAGCTAAGAACATGAACAAAATATAAGAGCTTATTCGAAATTATGATTATGTTTCGTATAATTATTTTCCTCTGAGTTTTGTCCAAGACTGATAACAGAGGCAAAATGTGACTCCCAACTGAGGAGGAAAGAGAAATCTTGAGAGATAGACAGCAAAAGTTCCAGTCTTTCAGAAGACAGAGAGAAAGAGAGAGAGAGAGAGAGAGAGAGATTATAGGCGTTGGTGGGTGGACATTAACATCTTTGCTGGTGCTTTCTGAATACTGTATTTCAGAGGTAGGAGAGAAAGAGCAGTGGTAACACTGATATACAATTGAGGGATTCGGCACAAAGTTTGAGAAATGAGAAGGATGGGGCTGTATTTAACGTGTAAATATTTCTTATATAATAATGATAAAGTATAATTCTTTCAATAACAGTTTTTATACATTGACCCTCAATCTTAAATTGTAGATATTCTTAGTAATTGTTATAATTTGTTACGGATTAGTCAATTAATAAAAAATAAATAAAATAATAATAATAATAATGCATTTCAACTTTTAGTTCTGTGTATCTATATATCTTCTACAATCTATATGAATTAAATTTTTATTTAATATTATCTATAGTCCTGTTTGGTAAAATATTAACCTATCAATCAATTTTGTCTTATTTGACCACTATTAATTGTTTAACTTTGATTAAAAAAATTAATTTCAAAATGCTAAAATTCAAAAAGTTGTTCAAAGCAACTTTTTCAAATAATTTTTTTAAAATTATACCAAACAGTTATCAGCTAATTTACCAAACACCTTTCACGTCTCTCTCCCAATTATCTTGTGCAGTCTAATTTGAACCTCTTTCTTTTTTATTTTCCTTTTTATGTATTCGTTACTATTATTTTGGTGGCTTTAGCTTGCTCTTGCGCATGTATCCGCAACCGTTATACCCTGCACCACGGTACGCATAGCATTGTGCGCTCCGTGCCTCCCAAAACGATATCGTTTTGATAAGTTATTTAGAAAGTTGACGCGATTATGTGTATTTGTTTATACAATTATGTGTATTTATTTACACAATTATGTACATTTTTTATACAATCATGTACATCGTTTTTATACAATTATGTACATCCGAAACAGAAAATTTATATGTATTATGTTAAGAGTTTATGTTTATTATGTTAAAAGTTTATGTATATTATATATTATGTTAGATTATATGTATTATCTTTTTTAAAAAAAAGTATGTGTATTTTGTTATACAATTATGTACATTCATGTATACAATTATGTGTATTCTAGTATAAAATTATATACATTTTTGAACATGAGATTTTTTTTTTTAAAAGAAAATTAACCACCAACACAAGGTAATGAAATTTCAAAAAAAAAAAAAAAAAAAAAAAAAAAAAACTGAAATGACGTCGTTTTGCATTAGGGCACATAATGCAATGCGCGCCCTAGTGTAGAATTTAAATTGCCGTGTATCCTTATTAAGCATCAAATATCTACAAATATAATAATCTACAATAAAGTTAGGCCCAAGAATTAAAAAATGTTGGGTGTAATTATTTGGGCAAATTATTGTATGAAACATGGTGTGTGGACCATGAATATCAGGTAAATTTTAAATATATTAAAAGTACATATTTTTGTATTAAATGTACGTTATATAAAATAATGTACCCTTAGTATATTAAAAATATACTTTTAAAAAATGTACCTTACGTACATAAATAATGTATCCTTAGCATATTAAAAATGTACATTTTATTTATGGTCCACACAATTGTGTGGACCATGGTCCATGCAATGATAATTGAATTATTTGTTGAAATGAATGGTTCATATTATTTTGATTTTAGTATTTTTTAAAAAATTATTTTTCCTATTCGACTCTTTATTACATTATTATTTTTTTTTAAATACCAATGTATTCCGTCAGTGTAAACTTTAATAACGGAATATTCTGTTAACTATTTATTATTCTTAACTTACTCATTGATTTTCATAAAAAAAAATGTCTTAGGTTTAAACCCCATCACAATCAAAATTGGCATAATTTTTAAACATATACTATTAATATGTTAGAGTGTATTAAAAATATACAATATAAAATTTAACATTAACTTTGGTCAATTAATTAGAATCACACATTGGGAATTGATGAAACGGTACACCTAATTTACAACATATATTTAACACATATGAGAAACTATGTCTATTATCATTGTCTTTCTAGGGATTGAGGATTTGGTTCTGTTTTTGAAAGTGCACTGCGCCAAGGCACTAAAATTGTAGTGAATCACATCATGAGACTATATCAAATCAAGAATTATTTCTAGGGAAAGTGGCACCAAAATGAAGCATGGATCAGGCCAATTAATAGGGTTTTGTGTTGCAAAAATTATGCTTAGGGTACTATCCAGCATTCCGTGAGAATGCTTCCCTCTAAAATGACTATTGCACCAGTTAATCCAACATTTCTGCCACAGGTCATAGTTATGCATCCTTGAAATATTTACTTTTATGAAAAATTTGATAACCTTGCATTGGTATATGCTAGGATACTGAATGATATTTTGATAAATTCTGAAACACTAATTTAAAAATGCACATTGGACATCAGACTATTCGCGCAATGCGGGTATAGTAACTAGTATAAAATAATAAATAAAAATAAAGGTCAAATTGACCATCGAACAGTATATAATACAATTGTCATTCAATTGAAAAAAATTACAATTGAACCATACAACAAGTTAAAATCATGCAATTCATCTCAAGTGACCTGAAATGACATGTTACCAAGAAGTAAATTTTGATTAAAAAAAATTAAAATTTAAGAAAAAAACAAACAAACAAAGAAACAAGGTCTCCGGACAATCGGAGACCAACGAATCCATGGAATCACCTCTAAGGATTTAGAGATGAAGGATCTCCAGAGATCCATAAAGATGAGAGTGTCACCATAGATCTCTAAAGACCAAAGAGGTTGAAAAGATGAAGGTAACCATGGCGGGTGTCATCTTTCAACCCCTAAAAAAACTGAAAGGTTCGTCTTCATGGATTTGGAGACAAAGGGGATAAAGGCAGCCAAGACGGGTACACGATGACGAGCAGCGACGCAATCTTGGTCTCTGAGCCCGGAGAATCCAAGGTTGTTCGCTTCACGTCTTCCACCCAGCTCCGGCTAGACGAAATCTTCTTCTTCTTCTTCTTCTTCTTCTTCTTCTTCTTCTTCTTCTTCTTCTTCTTCTACACGATGACGAGCAGCGACGCAATCTTGGTCTCTGAGCCCGGAGAATCCAAGGTTGTTCGCTTCACGTCTTCCACCCAGCTCCGGCTAGACGAAATCTCAGAAACGTTGTACACCCGGCCGTCGCTGGTGGCGGAGGTGTCAAAGGGGAACGAACGTCGATGTTGGAAAAAAAATAGGAAACCTAGTTCTCGTTATCCTCATCCAAGCTTAACCATTAGTAACATCATCCTTCACGCCAAGGCCGCCGGTGAGGGAAGAGGTCGATGCCGGAAAAGAAAAAAAAAAAAAAAAAGGAAACCCAGTCGCTGTAGTTGTTGCACCGCTGCTCACACCATCGCTACTAGAGGTCGTCGAAGCTTCGTGCTCAAGGTCACCGGCTTTGCTGCTTCGTCGGAGAAGAACTAGCCACCGGAGAATGAAGCTGTTGAAGATGGATGAAGATGATATTGATTAATTCACATAGAAAGACAATTTTTCCCCTTACATTAATCTTTAATTGGATAGTTAAAATTTTTCGGTGAGATTTGGTCGGTAATTTGGCCGGCGTAATTAAAATTTATAAAAATTGAATAGTTAATGTATTAAATTAACAGTTTTAAAAGTCGTGGATTGCAATTAACAAGACCCCAATAGCAATAGTTATGCTGTGCAACCGAATGTAGCATGCGCATGGTGCATACGGTTCAAAACGACGTCGTTTTGATTAAAAACGCGCGTCCCACTTTAAAAAAAAAAAATCAGGTTCGACTCTCCGCAATAGCATTATTGTGGATATATAGTTATGAAATTGTGGATATATAGTTGTGAAATTGTGGTTATATAGTTATGAATTTATGGATATTTAGTTCATTCATTGTGGATATTTAGTTCAATCATATATTGTGGATATTTAGTTCATTCATTGTGGATTTTTACTTCATTCATTCATTCATTGTGGATTTTTACTTCATTCATTCATTCATTGTGGATTTTTACTTCATTCATTCACTGTGGATATATAGTTATGAAATTGTGGATATATAGTTATGAAATTGTGGTTATATAGTTATGAATTTATGGATATTTAGTTCATTCATTGTGGATATTTAGTTCAATCATATATTGTGGATATTTAGTTCATTCATTGTGGATTTTTTTACTTCATTCATTCATTCATTGTGGATTTTTACTTCATTCATTCATTCATTGTGGATTTTTACTTCATTCATTCACTGTGGATATATAGTTATGAAATTGTGGATATATAGTTATGAAATTGTGGTTATATAGTTATGAATTTCTGGATATATAAAAATGCTATTGCCGGGAATCGAACCTGATTTCTTCTTTAAGTGGGACGCGCGTTTTTTTAACCAAAACGGCGCCGTTTTGCAACCGTATGCACCTTGCAAGGTGCATTCGGTTGCACAGCATAATTTGCGCCCCAATAATTACTGGACCAAAATGGTGATTTACTCTATAATTAAACTTGATTTTTAATTATTGAGGATGTGACACATTTATTTCTCAGTTAGAATTAAAAGTGACACATTTTTATGTTTGAGGAATGGATTAAATCAGGTGAATTTCGAATTTGATAATTAAAAAGTTACAAAAAATACAATAATCAAATGACCAAAATTGAAATTGAAATTAAGTCAATTTCAAATTTTGCAGAGATATTTTTTAACTGCATGCTAAATTATTTACGGAATGAGAATTGAATATGCAACCTCATTCGCAGTCATGCTACCGAATTACATGATATTTTGCTTAAGCTTACTGTATTCTTGTCTTAAGCCAAAATTGAGAATTAAGTTTGCTTTGGTCATTATAGTGAGTCACATGTTGGTTCCAATTGAGTGTGCAGTTGCTTAATTCATGGATTAATGTATTCAGGAAGTTCCCTTAATAGAGTATTTGATGAGTGATTTGGTAACAATTACTTCTTTGAGAATTTAGTAGTTTCCCTTTGGTTTAGCCTACTACAAGATTAGGATCTGCCGCTTAGTATGGGTTTCCTTATCACTTTATTTATGCATTTTTAAAAAAGCAAAAACTTATGTAAGATGTAAGATCGTCCTACGAATCTTTGTCTATGAGAAGAGTCGAATCAAGATGAAAAT